CTTTCCCTAGTTATGACTAAACAAACATAAGACAGATAGTATGGATTACCAATATGATCACTCCTTGTTCACCACTGTAAATTTTAAAACTGCTAACCAAGGAAATAAAATAAAACTATGTATAAGAATGAAGTTAGCTGGAAAAACTTCATCTGATGACACTCTTTATTGCAAGATGTCTCTTCCTGAAAAGGGACACTAGCAGCAATAGTCATTATCAATGCAATAACTAGTAGGCAGCTCAGAAAACTGGGATTGAACTAGCCAAGTTCTACTCAGGACTCTGCTGCTCTTACGTCAGGCTCCTTCTGAATCCCCAGGTAAATTGCAGGACCAGAAGTAGAAGTCTAATAGCTTTGTTTCAGCGCTATACACTTTCAGTGCCAAAATCAAAAACTAAGTTAAGAGGCCTCATAGTTAGCTGTCAGTACAGGACAGTACTGCAATCAAAACCTATCGTAAGGGACACTTGCTTTAAGATGTAAGGGAAATACCAGTCTCTTCACTCCCAAATGAGTGACAGTCTCCTTAACTGTACTTTGCTATTTGCATTTTAGCGATGCTTTGCTTTGCTTTCCCCCCGCCAGGGGAAGAAAAAAAAAAAAAAAAAGGTGCGAGAAGACAAAGGTTACCTTCCCCCAAACTGTAGCGGATTCGCACATCCCACGCATACATTGTTTCCTTGTTCTCAAATCCCAGCATCACAACTTGAGAAAGACAGATGATTGCAAGCGTGTGATTCAAGCCCTCATAGGAGAGCCCAGGATCCAAGCCACAGATGTCTTCTAAGGTCACGCTGCTCCTCTCCTTATGCCCTTTTGCTCGTTCAGATTTATCCTTGTACACCAGCATGAGCAAACAGTCTAAAAGAAGCAAAACTGTCAGAGATGATGAGGCAGAACAGAACATAACACAACACATTCCTCAGTGCTCTGCTGCAATGCAAAGGTGCTTTAGAGACCTGCAGGGTCAGCCTGACCAAGGCAGTGTAAGAACTCAGTTTCCTTTTCCCACCCCCAGGTAGTTTGCGGTCCTTGTTTTCAGGGAGCAAACACTGAAGGCATGTTTCGAGGGTAATCTGCAGGCTCAGAAAAAAGGAGTCAAGCAAAAAGTCTTCCCTGTTTTACTTTTCAAAAATCCAGTGTTTTCCCAGATAGGCTCCCAAGTCTGGAAGGGACTGACTCATTAATTCTGAACATTAGGAGTTACGCTATGATAGCTGTTCAGATTACAACCACTAAAGACCGAGAGGCTATTGTCATCTGTATTTCCACTAGAACATACTGAACCACAAATGAAATTCTTACGGTAGTTCACAGATTACTCAACTACTAAATGGTGAGCAGACTGCGCTGCCAGATCGTTAGTGTCGGCTCAGGTTTCCCAGTTAAATGTTACACAGTAGCCATGGCTAAATAATCATTATGTGCCACACCTTTTTTTTTTTTTTAATATTCACTTCTGTCACCATTTGTTTTCAACCCCTTCCTAAAGGTGTTTATTACACAGTAACTATGCAACAGAAGTAAGTAATTCAAGTGCCACGGTCCCGTGGGAAACACACGTTTTACAAGCAAACCCAAAGGGCAAGAAAAAGAGGAGACCTCTCCTACCTTTCACATTTATAAGAACACTCCTCTTCCCCCAGGCTCCCTTCCTATCACATAGCCCTCCGCTCTAAACAAAATTAACGGTCGATATCAAAGCTGCATCATCCACTGCTTAAGCTGACCTACATACCACGGAGCAGAAAGGCCCCTGTGCGCCATTTGATGAATGTTGGGGTGTGGTGCCCTGAGCCCTGGCGAGGTGCCCTGCGGCCCGCAGCTGGGCAAAGGGCTGGCGAATCTCCAAAGAGGTGAAAAATGACTGAAAGTCTGAACTGTCTGCTAACGAAAGCAGAGCCTTGCATGGACTCCCAATTGTTTTCATGCACCTGTCAGTAAAAACAGCTGCTACTACGGTATTTAAGCATTCTGCAATACAGTTGTGTGTCTGAAGAACAGCTATGGTTGAGAGACCAAAAAAAAGTCACTGGGGCCTTTTTCTGGTAAACCTGGCTAATTTTGCTAGAATAATACTGCTATTTTTGAGGAATAAGCTACGTTATCAGTCAAAGCAAGCTCCCTCATCTTCCCCCTTCAAACTTAGCTTATTCATGTTAGAAACCCAGACCCATATTCACATGTCTAGATACTAGCTCTAGGATCAACAGATGCCCATTCACACAGAGCAATTTAATGGATTCGGACGAGAGACAGGCATTTAAGGCACTAACACATAACTGTAACAACTCAAGGGACCAAGAGTTAGGTTTGAATAGCTTCAGTTATACCAAGAAGCTGGTAGTCTGAAGGTAACAACCTAGAAAAGATGCCATAATCCATTCTGCAGCAACACAGAGTCACATTGACTAAGTGTAGGCAACATTTAGCTCTGGAAGGGCCCAAACGTTTTCCCACTTAGGGAACAACGAGGAAACCTGAAACCTACTTTTCCCTTTCCAGCAGTAAAATATCAAATCTGAATAACGTTTTCAATTTCCCCCGTAGAAGCATGGAAATGTTTTGGGTTTTTTTTTTAATTCAAAATGTCATTTTATTTTAAAATTGAAGTGATATTTTATGTCAAAACACTGATCAAAAAATAACTACCGAGCTTACAATGCCACCTTTTTTTTTTATAGCTACCAATCACCCTGAAGATACAATAATAATTAAAAAAAAAAATTGCATTTTAAACGGGGAACCCAAACCAAGTAGCTGCGCCTTGAAAAGGCACGTTCTTTAGCACTGTATTCAGTCAGCGCATGCTATTAAGCTATCGAAAGCCTTCGCTCCCAACACAGACAACGCTGCCGGCCCCACGGCCGGGCGTTA